AAGGGATACACGAAATTTAATTTACTTCGAAAGGTATGACTATTATCTGCAGTGTCCATTGGAGTCTTAAGATAATGGATGGATGAGTGTTTAATAGAGAGGACATTCCTGGCAGTTGCTTTGGCAGGAGGCTCCTTCCCTGTGACAGGAGCTATTCAGCACCATTTCAGTGCTAGGGAGGGGGAAATGAAGAAGATGCACAGAGTTTCTACCTTCATTTTGATAAACTTTAATTTTTGAATATCAACCTTTTCCCTCCAGTATCTCCTTAACTTTCCCATTGCCATTCCTTGTGTTTTATGACAGCTCTGTCCTGAGTTATGGGCATATATTTCACCTGGCTTTCAAATACACTCTATTTTTATCATCTTAAAGGCATCTTGTAGGCATCTCACTTTCTGGACTGTCTATTTTAGGGTTTCTTTTTTTACCTAAAAACTTCATTTTTCTAGAAATTAAGCACAGAGATGCACTGGGCCTCCTATCCCCCCAAAATACAATTGTGTTTTGGCTGTTAGCCCCTTACACCCTTTTGAACTGAGCCCTGGGCACCACTGCAGATGAAATTCAGGTTGGTACTTTTCCTTCTGGGTCCTAAGGTTGCTGTTTGATAAATTTACTGAGTCCAAAATTATTTATCCCTGTGTCTTGGCCTGAAGAGACAGTGATCCAGGCTATATGAGGAGAATTGTAATGTTATGCTACTGACAGAGCCTGCAATTTACAGCTTTTCCTTAAAATATTTTCTTTCCCTGAAAATTGAAATTTCCAGAGTTATATTTAAATCTGTTTTATTCACTTGACACATCTTCTCACTGAGATGGTTATGCAAATATTAACAACCTCTGTAAACAAGACCAAACCACACAGGGGAAACTCCTCCTTAACCTGGTCCCTGAAGAGCCATTTGGAACAAATGGCTTTGCATAATACAGCTTTTTCCAATTAGCATCTCTGGCAATAAGCCACTGGGGGATATTTGATATGCTTTTATCTTAAGATTAAATTTACACTTGCTGCTAGGTAGCTCTGACATCTTCATTCTTGTTTTACATCTCTGTCATAACATGATTATTGTGTGATCACCACTCCCAGCAAAGCAGCCCCTGTTTGGATGTGGCTCAGCCTTGTCTACACTGATGGGCTCTACAGTCCTGCCAAGGAAGAAGGTTGGGGGTTTTTTCGCAATTTGCCTCTTGGAATTCAAAAAATATTGTTAGAAAAGCTGCAGGGCAGGTTTGGGATGTTTTTAGAGCCATATATTAACTCCAAGAAATAAGCTGGAAAAACAACCAAGCAAATAATTAATAAATAAGAATATTTCTTCTGAGGAGACTGCAATTTAAATATTTTAAAAGTGGTTAGTTAAACTTTTACAAAACAGACTGAGGCCCAGATTTTAATGATTTTTCCAAAGTTTTGAAGAACTGGATAAAGAACAGACCCTTTCCTTAGTCCAGTATTTTAACCACAAAAGTTTTTCCTACCACAGACAACTAAGCACTTTCAAAAAGAATTTTTCAAGGGCAGATTCACTATCAGAGTTATAAATTGTTCCAGCTCCTATGAAATCAGTGGATCTGCTACTGATTGTATCTACTAAGGATCTGCCACAGGACTGTCCAGTACAAAGTGAATTAAAAAAATATACAGTCTATGGATGGGATTCATAAACACAAACATAAAAAATATTAACAGTATTTCTTGTGCCATGAAAAATGCAAATAATTTTCAAAAATTTTATGCTAAAATACCATCTTTTTTTTTCCCCAGTTTTTGGAAAAAATTAGAAAGTTTACCCAGGGGAAAAAAGGGATGGAAAATGTCCCACCACTGCGAAGTTACCTCTCTCAGACATCAGTTTCTGAGACTGGAAATAGCAAAAGCAAAGTGCAGTGCTGAGATAAAATGGCTGCTCCAAACCAAACTGCAAACCTAATTCAGTTCACCACACAGGCCCTGGGGATTTCCATCCTTCATGGGCTTAATCAGATTTCAGATGATGCCCATTCATTAAGAAAAACGTTTCTATTTCCCCAGGTAAGCAGATTTCTCCCTCCAAACAGCTTTGTACTCCACTCTCTGCTTCACCACAACAACCTGTCAAGTGTTTAGGTCAAAACCACAGAGCAGGAAAACACTCACACAGAACTGGAAGTCTTTTACTTGTTCTCAGCTGAGGTTTGTTCACCTCAAACAGCAGCAGGAGAGTGAGGAACAGCGTTCCAGTCTCACAAGGCTGATGTTGTACTGGGCAGTTTGAACTGTGACAAGGCCATGCTGAAGTAAATACTGCAGTGGGGTTTATTTAAATAAACCCCATGAGGTTTACCATAGATCAGCTCCTTTTCAACCCTCCAAAATTTATGTAAATCACATTCTGTTTGCTCAGGGATGCTTTGTAATTGCCAAAGTGCCAAACTTCCAGCAGAAACAAGGGGTGGACAAGATATTTCCACACATTTGAGATCCATAAATTAATCATATACCATTTAATGCTTTCAGCATAGCCACTATAGATTATTAAGGTGTAAAGGTTGGCACTACTAGGAATTACACGTTATAGATTCTATCTATTGACCAACACAATAAATCCAATGGCAAAACACATATTGTCCATTTAAAGGGAGATTTTTCCAGGCTTACTTTAAAAATATATTAACCCTTTAATGTGTATAATTTAACTTCTTTTTTCAAGGGTCCTCTTAACCCAGCTCATTCCAATGCTACACTTCCCAACGTTGCCTCAGAAACCATTCAGTGGGCAAAAATTGAGGACAAGCAGCTGAGAGCAGGATGATGAACTACAAGTGGGAAGGCAGAACAACTTCTTAATTGCCTTTGCCATGTCCTAAAACTCTGTCCCACACTTAGACTGAAGGGAAGAAAAATTGTGCCTTGGAATGGTGAAGTGCAGGATTAGAAATACGAGAGAGAGGAAGATCTTGAGCCAAAATTTCAAGAGAGACAAAACTCAGCTGGAGAGATTCAAAGAGAATGAAAAAAGTTGAACTCAAAGCACGGTGTCCTCCAGGACCCCAAATGGAATCCAAGATTTCAGACACTATTCCTCTACTGGAAAATGCCTGATGGTTGCTGGGAAAGGTTTCCCCTTCATTCCCACCTGCTGGTTCAGTCGGTTACCCTGTTATTCTCTGCAGTAGTTCTGACAAAACAGATGTTGATCTTTGGCAGAGGGTCTGGGGCTGTTTTAATTTACGTTCTGAAGTCTTTACTGGAACTCTTACATGCCTCTTGTGAGCTACATAATCTCAGTGCAGTGTTCTACAGGCATTCCCAGAGAAACTGTAGGATGGCTTTGCTGCAGAAGTTGGGAATGAGGCAGGGAAATCTGGAAAAAGGAAGATGGAGAAGGTCTTGGAGAACTGGGTTCTCTCTCCTTCCTCTGCCAGACTGCTTGGGGGTGGGGGGGAAAGTAAGTCACTTGAACAAGGTGCTCGTTTTCAACTACAGCCGAGATGTAAATCTTCAGGTAGTTAAGAACCCACAGGAGAATTCAGTAGGACATTATTCTCTAAGCACATAAAGTACTGCCTTATCTAACGGGTCTGGAAAACCACAGCAAACGCGTCTCAAGTGAGGCAACCAAAATTAGCATCTTTAAATCCCTCTCTGATGCTCTGCACACTCCTCAATCTGTGCAGTGGACACCCCAGCCCCACACATGCCCAGAGCTTTTGTGGAGCAGGTACTGCAGTGATGGGCCCTCCAGAAAAGCTTTAGAAGGTATGAATAACTCCTGCCTTCACAGATTACTGGAGACAAGTGTGTGTGATGTGTACTGTAAGGCTGCATCACAATGCACAAGGAGCCGAGGGAAGATTGCACAGACAACCATAATTCTGGCATTTTTTAAGTGTTTAGTGCTTGCCTTTAAAATCTTTATAATGTGCTCTTAACATAGTGGCTTTCTGGTATATAACGTGTGATTATCTGAAAGCACCTGTATATTTTTCACAATACATGGAGAACATTTTGTTTTGTGCTTTAAAAGGATCCGGAAAATAATTGTATTTTAACTAAAGTATCTTTGGCTTTCTTTTCACTTTGCTTTTGTGTGGAAGCCACAGAACAGCTTTTCACATACCAGATGAATAATGTGTAGGAAGAGTGAGAGAGGAAGGGAATTGATGGCTTTTTTAAAGTATGTGAATTTAGTTTCACCAGGCACTTTATTTTAATCATAATGCAGATCCAAATGTATAGAAAAAAAAAGAACCTCTTGAATGCTTCAATATGTTGGTTTATACGTTACTGAAAAAGATCATATTTTATAAAATAATACATTTCTTTTTTGATTCCCTTCAACTGTAGGTTGAAAATGAATATACATCCATATCTAAGTAGCATAAAAATATCTGCATCTTCAAACTACACAGCAAAATGCAGTCACAAGCATGCTGGACAACTGTTAGATTATCTGATCAAATTTAAAGGTTTCATAGAAATAAACTTTCTTGCACTGCTGGATTTTTTTAGCAGAACTCTTTTTCTCAGCAGTGTCAGGAGGAAGAAGTCCAGCTATTCCATACACACCTAAATTAAAAAGTGTTACGGCACTTGCAGCGGGAAAATTCTTTTTATTACCCCCCAGCTTCTCTGCAACAGAACTGCAGAATAAATCTCTCTCGCTATTGGAAAAGTGTCCCTATCAACACTGAAATGAAGCACATGTAACTGAATTATGCAATTAATCTGCCAGCACCATCACTGATTCCTAGTTTGGGAGGAACACATCCATGGTTATGAAATGTACGATTTGCAGAGCACAAAGTATGAAAGAACAATCTACTTTCTCAGGTGAAACAGAGCCAATGGATTTTTTTTTCTATATTCCAAATGATCACAGAATAACACATGCTTGCACATTGTATCACATGCAAAATATCCTACGAGTTCTAATTCCTTCATGTTAAAAGCAGCATTCCCTCCATATAGAACCACAGACATATTTTTAAAATACCCTAACATTCACTCACCTCAGTTAAAACTCCAAGTAGATATGATGGATCAGCTTAACAAAATAAAGCATCCATGGCAGGAAGGAAGTATTTCTCCTTGTTTCTATTCATTTCTCCTATTCCTTCTACTCACCTCCGAGTGCTGCTGCTGCTCGGAGCGCACGAATTGCAGCAGCTCAATCCCAGAAGAAAACGGTTATTTCCTTTCCCCTGCTCCTGCTCTCCCTTGAAACTCCTTCACTTTTTCAAGTTGCACAGGAATAGCAGGAGGGACCCTTTGGGCTCTCTCCAGGGCTGTGTATCTTTTATGTAAAACAGATGAAGGCATTGCCTGTTTTACCCACGACAATCGTGTCTCACTGACAGCGCCGGGCTCATTAATTGTGCTCTGTGTGCAACTGGGAGAACCCACGGAATGCTCTGACTTGGGCTCAGCTTTCTAAATGAAGAACCAGATGAAAATCTGCAAATCAACTTCTCTTTCCTGCAGAAGTTTCTCTTTTTCTGTCCTGTAGAAGCTGGGATTCAGTTTAACCAATATATCTCACTGGAAATGCTGGAGGAGAGCTTTAGACTTGGTGTAACACCCGAAATAAACCCACTGGAGATGTTTTGGCCATTAAAATGCCTCTAACTCCGCTGTAACTTTTGGTCAGCTATCCACATCAAACCTCTGATTCCTTCCTCCCAAGGCAATTTTGTCTTATAGCACTGTCAGCAAACTGCTTGAAAAGATTCCAGCCTAAATTACAGCAGTGAAAGCCTGTCCTGGCCTTTTCCCTTACTGTTTGGTTTTTTTCTAGAATATTTAAATTTCATATTACTCCTCACCCAGTCTTAGCCATACTCCTCAGAACGCAGGAAAACAGTCTTTCCTTCCTGCAATCCTAAATGCCTTCATTAGGGAGACTTAACGTTGAAGTGTTTTGGAAAGGCAGATGCTCCAGATTTAAAAGAAACAAGAGAGGACTCTCAGTGAACAGCTGCATTGCTCTCAGCTCCGAGCGAGCCATATTTCAGAATGGTTTGGTACATTATTTTGTCACTGGGAACATATTATTACCATCTAAATTTAAAAACACTGGCTTTCTTGCACGAAGGCAAAAGCAGGCTTAAAACCACAATGACTGTTCCGTGCAAGTATTCCATGCCAACGATGCAGAAAATGAGATCAAAGTGAAAAACAATTCTTGTTTTCGAAGGTCTTTGCTTCCAAGGTGTCTGTGCAAAAGTGGCCAGAAACCACAGGTACAGGAATTCTTGTGCACTTCCAAATTGATCACTGTTCACAGTTCTGTGTTGAAATTTCATTCCACGGATGCTTCAGCTCACAAATACCTTGTCCCTGCTCATAAGCACTGTTTTATTCCACCTGCAGGAGGCTGAAATGCTGGACATCAAACCCATGTTCCAAAGCTATCATTTTTCAGTTCTAAAGCAAAATATTTTTAAAATAAACTGACTACTCTGTAAATATTAAGTCATGTAATTCCTGAAACAGTGCTCTGGCAAACAATTCCACTTTGGAGCACTGGGCACAGCTCCTGCTGGTGAGCTGGCAAAATCCAGGGAGAAATTCTAAATAAATTTTCCATAAAATCTTATCAATTTAAAGTAAATCACAATCTCCTTTTTTTTGCCCCAGGAAATCCATATTAACAGGTTTTTCCTCTTATTGAGTCTTCTTATGCATCATCTACAACCGCCCACATGTATTTTCCAGAATAGTTTAGTGGGTGACTAAAGGATCCACTGCAACTCAGGTAAACTGCTGCTTCTGGAAAAAGTGCACTAATCATATGGATAACAGAAAATTGATGTGTTTTAATACAATGAACACAAACAAAACAGAGGCCTGGACTTTCAGTTATAAACAGGACTTCAGTGGACAGCCCATTGTTTATTCCCTGAGGGGCATTTTAAGGAAAAAATTTAATGAAGTATTTTTTTAGTGACTATTTTCATTGGGAGTCTTAATTAACATCAGTGGCATAATCTGGGTCAATTTTGTATACACATATACTATATATATATATATATATATGTTTGTGTGTGTATGTTCTAGGTAAGGACTTCCTTATATTTCCTGTGTTTGACTTAAGCATTTCAGAAGAATCGGATTCTCTCTAGAGGGGAATCCAGCCCAGAAAGTTGGGAACTTTTTTTGATAACTCTGAGTTTCCTGGTTGTTTTTTATATAATTCCATCTATATTGTCACAAGAGATGAATATCTCACAGAATTAAATGCAGTGACAAGCTGGAAAAAATCCACTTTTTTAGTAGGAATTTGCTAGTGAGCCTTACCCTGACCCATCAATCAGCATCTGGCCATTAATTTAATTGTTATTCATTAAGTTCTCCCTATTAGAATCTCTCAGGCATGTGCTGCAAAGTCTAATGATCTTTGTGTTGTATCATAAGACAAAGGAGGATGTTCCATCATCTTGTCTCTTCACCTTTTTGCTGGCAACACTAACCTTTCCCTGAATTATTCCCAAATGGAAGAATCCTAAAATTGGACAGATAAATAATACAAAGTAGGGAAAAGTGGAAGATAAAGTCGAACACAGAAAAGGACAAACATCCTCTTATCTAAAAAGTGTTTCCTTGGTTGTGTTGAACTCCTTAGTTAATTAAAATAATTTAAAAACAAACAAACAAAAAAAGACATTGACAATCTCACCACTCAGAATTCATCCCTTCTACTTACTCAAGTTCTGGAAAACACTATAGCCCAAACTTTCAAGCATAAATAAAAAGTATTAGGCAAAATCTTTATTAAAAATTAAAGAATCTGACCCAGCAGAGTTCCCAAACATGTGCTTGAATTTAACTACTTAGTCTTAACAAGGTTAATAGGATTCATCTGTCGGGGAGATGCCTTATGTGCAAACAGGCTTTGGGTTCTAAACCCCTGTTTGCTGAGCTTCTGAATACTTGGAATTTAGGCCCTCAAGTTTGAAAATCTGGCAAAAGCTTCTTAAATGTAAGAGAAAAATAAATAGATCTTTTCTGGTGCCGAAGTCTGTATGAATCACTGGTTGTTAACCAATGGAGGACTTGTGTCACAGCCACCCAGAAGATGCTGGAGGGTTTCTGAGGCTGCAGCAAGCACAGCAGATATGGGACTGAGCTACCAAATGAATAAACATTCTGAGATAGTTGATGTTTTGTACTCTTGCTGATGGGCAAAATTCCCCCAAAGCTTAGAATGGCTTAACTTCAGATTCAGATTTTTCAATGCCATAAATAAAGTAGAACTTCTCCTCCTTAACAGGACCCAGACTTTAATCTTCCCTTTTGCCTGAGACTCAAAACTCTCATTTTTATACTTCCATATATGAAGCACCTCTGGCTACTTACACTGCAGGAATAAATAATCTCTGCAGTGAATACAGGCCTTTTTAAAATATCTGTTTAAGAATCTGAACTCCACTTTGATTCTCCCTGTAGTGTAAACTAAGCTTTTATTAAGCTTTTCTTAGCCAACATGTTTCAGGTATGTGAACTAAAGCATCCTGAATGTCTCATGTTGAATTCTGTGCATGTGGCAACAGTTTTGGATATAACAGTCAACATTTCAGCTGCCAGTGTATTTCTGGTTTAGAAGATATTAATTTATCTATGAGATCATAGATCTTTGGATAATAGCTAAAATGGAAGTCTTTGCTGGTAATAAATGGTGACTCCTTTCAGTGAAGCTGAGCAACATTCCATCTTCCAGTGTTTCATTCTTTAAAAGTCTTCCAGTAAAAAAGAGATTAAATTATCCAATTCACCAGGTAATGACTTGAGCAGTTGACATAGGATGAGCTTGGCATCCAAAACATAGGTGGATACTGAAAAGCTTGTTTCCTCACTGAGGAAGGGATTGGTGGGTGCAAATTGACTCTTACCTCTTGAAAATCCAAGGTGTTTCACTTCTCATTCCTATTTTTCAGGGGAGAAAAATGATCATGAGAAAATCTGTCTGTGTATCAGAAGGCTGAGTGCCAATTTTAGACCTCTTCAAATAGAATCTTTCAGACTCCTTGAAACACTCACACTGAAGAAAAATTGGCATTTAAGGAATCCTTCCTAACAGGTTTTAAATGAGGTGAAATTAGGTCTATAACATTCAGTGTTTCTTAAATAGTCATAAATTGTGCTTGGACTCAGTTTTGAGACTGTTTTTCTATTGAATTTAATGAACATCTTATATAAGAGGCACACTCATAAAACTGCAAACAACCACTCTTTAAACCAGAAACTTTGAGATGAGATTTAGAAACACTGTAGAATTAAGCATTTGTTCTCTTCTTGTCATGAAGCTGAGGAATCCCTCTTATTTTAAAGTATTTTTCATTTGAATACACTTAACATGGTTGGAGTACTTTGTTACTACTTCAGTAAATAACATTTGCAACCTTTGCTGATTTGGAATTAATGTTATATTTAGTAGAAAAAGAGAGAGCAGATATTCCAATATATTCCTGGAAGTATCTTTAAAATGTCCTAAGAATAATTTTCAAAAGCCAGAAAATTCATATACCATTATCCCTGTGTGTCTTGATCAGTCCTAATTAGGATATTTGGGGGTTTTAAATGTGGCAATAAGTTCCTTTTATTTTCTCAATAAGGCCTTTTTCAATTTTTATTTTTATCATCTGTCACAGAAATCTGTTGTATGTGTAAGCAATTTAATGGTTCACTGGAAGGTTGTTATGCAACTGAGTTGTATAAAATCCTGTCCAAGCCCAGAAATTACTGTAAGGGGGAAACAGTGCAATGGTGAATGGCTGAGAATTTAAATACCTTTTCTGTTGGTTTTAAATCTTTTCTCTGTGGTTTTGTACAGCTCTCCTTGATATGCTGTGAGTGGAAGAGGGAAGAGATTCCACCCCTAACATTGGGGTGTCAGGAACAGAAAGCTCCTCTGCCTGGCACAGGCGAGACTCCAGAGCCATAACGTGGGTCTGGAGTGAGAATTCCAACACAACACCACTGCTTGCTCCATTTCAGGGAGAGTTTGGGTAGAGTTTACAGCCCCTGAGCTGTAAACACAGCTATTCCCAGTGGGATCAGGCTGCAGGTTCTGCCAGTGCTGCTCACTCATGGCACCACATCCCATCTATTCCCGCTGACCATCGCTGCCATTATCACACAGCCAAGCTCTGGGAATGAGGGCTGGGGAATTTGACTCTAAACTGATTGTACATAAGTACTACTCCAAAGGCAGTGAAAGACCCAACATTGTGCACTTGTGCAAGACATAACTTCATCATTCAGTTTATTTTCCAACCATAGCATCCTCTGAGAAACTAGAAACTCTTCCTCGCAAAGATCCTTTGTATTG